AGGTTTCTGACACCGAATAACTGTAATCAAAGAACTTAGAATTGGTTATATGATTTGAATTTATATTCAATTTTTTGCTTTTGTGCAATACACTATGCTGTTGCTAAATTGACCCCCCCCCCTTTCCACAAAAAAAAATTTCCCCCCCTTTTTTTTGCTTTTGTGAATTACACTATGCTGTTGCGTATTGACCCCCCCCCCCCCCTAAAAAAAATTTGTTTACCCCCCCCCTTTTTTTTGCAAAAAGAAATAATATTTGAAGAAGTTTTCTTTTTAATATCTGAAATCTGAAATGAAAAAAAAAATTGCTCCCACAATTTCTTTTTTACCCCCCTCCCCCCCCTAATTTGTTTTTCATTTCCCCCTCCTCCCCCCTTTTCCAAAAAACAATCTTTCCCTCAAGATATGGTCATAATCTCAATTCAAATTTCCAATGGAGTTTGCAACCATAATTACCAATTTAAATACATCATAAAAGTCTTAAAATAGAACCCCCCCCCCAATTTTTTTGAACCCCTTATGATTCATCACCCCCAAACTCAATCCCAGCCTTCCCTTTGTGGTATGGTACCTTGCAGTACAATTTCAGAGAGATCCATACACTTGAACACAAGTTATTGTCTGGAAACTAGAAAAATGCTTGTTTTTTGGCCCCTTTTTGGCCCCAGATTCCTAAACGTTTAGGGAAATTACCCCCAAACTCAAACCCAGCTTTCCCTTTGTGATATGGAACCTTGTAGTACAATTTCATAAAGATCCATACACTTACAAGTTATTTTCATGAAACTAGAAAAATGCTTGTTTTTGCCCCTTTTTTGGCCCCTGATTCCTAAAATTTTGAGGCAATTACCCCAAAAATCAATCCCAGCTTTCCCTTTGCGATATGGAACCTTGTGATACAATGTCAGAGAGATCCATACACTAACACACAAGTTATTGTCTGGAAGTTACAAAAATGCTTATTTTATGGCCCCTTTTTGGCCCCTAATTCCTTAACTATTGGTACCATAACCCCCAAAATCAATCCCAACCTTTCTTTTGTGGTATTAAACCTTATGGTAAAATTTCATAGAGATCCATTCACTTAAACTAAAGTTATTGTGCGAAAACCAATGTGTCTTCGGACGACGACGACGACGACGCCAACGTCATACCAATATACGACCGCAAAATTTTTTTGCGGTCGTATAAAAACAGAAAGCGCTGCTTCTGTTTCACATAGATTATTTTCTCTGTATGTCCATGATTGACTCTGTCGATGCTATCGTGAGCGGCATCACTTGTAAAATTTGTAAAAACGTCTACTTAAAGTTGCAAAACGTATCAGCTAGTCAAAAAGTAATTTTTGTTCTACTTTTTTTTTCTTCTACCAAACTATATATCTGTTGTTTTATTTTGAACCAGTCTATGATGAATAAAAGGAGACGTGGGGTTATACGCCCATGCTATAGTATCCCAACTACAAAACTAACCAAACGATATCAAGAGGACACAATAAGTCTTCAACCATCCACGAAACAAATAATTAACGCGTGACATGGACAACAGTTAAAACTTATTTGTTGTATAAACTTTTAGCAAAATTAAAATAAAAAAAAAATACACACAAGTTCAGAATTTAAATATATGAAAAATCACAATTCAGAATTAGAATGAAGCCGATTTAATGTTCACTTTTATCAATTATTATTACGAACGAATAAAAATGAATATGTTTTTGTAATATTGTATAATACATTGGTTTTCTCATTTAAATTTCTTTTACATATAATTTTGTCAGAGCCTTTTATAGCTTGCTAAAAGGTATGGATTTTGTTCATTGTTGAAGGCCGTATGACGACATACAGTTGCTTACATCTACGTCAATTTGGTCTCGGGTGGATTGTTATCTCATTGGCAATCAGACCGCATGTACTTAATATATATAATACTACATTGAATGTGCGTATATATGTCCTTTGGTATTCCAAATACAACGATTTAAAAGAGTATTTCAATATATATAATGTCTGTTTATTTTGATCGTTACTCTTCCTTCATTCACGAATAGAATCACATAACTGAACCATGTTCAACATGAAATAAACCATGACACGAATGAACCAAACCATGACACCGAATATTCTGTAATCTCAAATTGTGTGCACTAGGGGCTGTTTTTCGGGGAAATTGACGGCAGTTTTATATCATAACAAAATATGTGATGTAGCAGACAGTAAGCAAACCACTTTTCTTTATGCATTAGAAACGAATCACAACTTTTAAATTTTGACATACGCAAGCATTATTCTGTGTCAAATTAATAACTATATGATACAAATTTTGATGTACTAGCATATTAGCTATAAACAAAGATGCTTACCAGCTTGAATTTGTTGTCATTAGTTCCTTTAACAAACTATTTGAATGTTTATATTTTGACACTGTTTGTCATCAAAAACACTTAACACAACCATGTTCATCTTAACCAAACTATGACAAAATCACTGTACTAAACGCTTCTCGATATGACGAGGTTACTACCCGTGATTCAGATAAAAAGTTCTTTACATGTATGTTCTTTAAGACATTGTTGTATGGGATCAAAAATATTAGCTTCAAGCAAAGGAGTATTTAAATGATTTTTTTTTTATTCAAAATAAATGCTTAATATTTTTTTTTCGCTATTGGAATTTCCTGAAATATGTTTTTTTGATATGTCTTGAAACAACTTGTAGTGAACACTATTAGTAATTTCTTATGTTCATGCTATTTAAAAGAAAACCAATTTCTATTGTTATGAATAACAATGGACTGTGTTTTCGGAATGTAGAAGTAGGTGTTTCTAGAAACCCCGCTCGTCACACCCTGTGGTAAAAATCCATTGTTATTCGTAACAATAGATCTATTCAATTTACACTTGTTTCAGAAATAGAAACTATGAAGTATAACAATAGAACTGGGGTGTAAAAATTGTCGAAGTTTATCGGGTCGCAGATTCAGCAACCGACAGCCACTCCACTTAATTTCTCTACAAATTGAAATGCAGTAGCTACCCTGGTTAGCGAGGCTATACTATACAGATAATTCCCTGCCCCTCCCCCCAAAAATGCATTCGGAATAAAAGAAAGAAAAAAAGTATATCAAAACGTTCTAGAATAGCGACATATGTATTTTTAGCAACTGCCGTCGTCATAGTTTAACTTTCATATCCATAATGCCCAAATTGTAACAATTGTTACATATTTTTAAACTCCGTTTTACAAACAAAACAACGACTGTGTCTTACTATTTACTTTGCAAATACACATATAGTGTTTACATATTTTAACCGGGTCAATGACTACAACTGGACACTTCATTGATGAGTTTATCCCAAAACACTTGTCTATAGATAAGCCCCACCCATCTTGAATCCGATAAATCTTGTTCCAGGGCAGGTTTCACCGTTTCTTGAATTCGATAAAATCCGGTTTTGGTTTCTTGTAAAATAACGTGTTGGTTTTCAAATCCGGTCCCGGATTCTTTGTAATCAAACAGACCGAAGTGTAATCCTAAGTTTAGACCTAGTTTCCGCAAATTTCTATTTATATTAGATTAACAAAATAATTTCATTTCGGCCAAAAGTGATAGTTCCTGCTGATTGAATATAAAAAAAGAAATGTGTTATGATTGCAAATGAGACGTTTATCCACTAGGGTCCAAAGATTAAAATAAAAAAAATAACTCTTTTAAAAGCAAAACCCTTAACTGTTGAATACACAGGCACATACCATAAGTACGTAGAGACATTTTACTGTATCAACAAATTTCTCAACTGATTCGATTTTTGCGTGTTTGCATGTATGTTCAAATTATAATTAACGTAATATGTTGTTTTATTGAAAATACAACATGGATATAGAAAAAAAGCTTTTTCCAAGACTCATTGAACGCACTTAATCAAAAATTTAAGGATGTATTGGAAAATGAATGAATCTACACGCTCGAACTCAGTTAAAATGACAATTTCATATCCAGCCTTCTACGGTTAAATTGTGTACGCAACCTTCACACCACAATGAATTACCCTTTAAAGCTGTACTTGTTTTGCCTATTGGACTGAATATAAATATTATACAATTTTAAAGTGTTACTATGTTTCTCCCTCAAGACTTGTAAAATATTTTCAACCTCATTATGCATAAGATTTTCCTCTTCTATAGACAAATTTGGTTTTTTATCCTACGCAATTTTGTGGTTGTTGGTTTTCTGCTATTGTCTGATAAGCAGGATGTTGACATGTGCTTGAAATAATGCGTTATGGATAATGCGATGGGCTAATCATTTTCTAATTACGCGATTATATTTTATTACGGTGATTTGCTTTTGAAATGATTAAAGATTGTTCAACAACAAAATTTTAACGACGTGTTAGCTAATCTTGTGTTAAAGATTTAATCACTGACAAGCACTTATCTTTGCATTGAACTAACGAACAACTATCAGATTTAATGTCCTCATTTGATTTTTTGATTTACCTGCTCATACGAAAATAGTCATGTGATCTGAACATTTATCGAAGAGTTATATTTCCTATGGTGTGGATTCAGATAGCGTTTCAGACATGCAAAGCAGGCGGGGCCCATCCAGACGACATATCCGGTCTCTCTCTGTTCTTAGTTCATGTGTTTCATACCGGTTTTGAATTCTACCTTGATTTGTATCTTTTTAGATTTAAGAAAATTGAACATCGGTTACCTCAAATTTCGAAGACTGAATGTATGATTTATGTTTATAACTGTAATGGTTGTAAGCTCGAGTTTTTCTTTACGTGTAGCTCATTTATTTTAAGGAGTAGTAATCTAAGCGTTTTTCAGGAACCTAGTTAGAATTGAAATAAAATTTCGCTGTATAATTGTATGTCCTATAATAAGAATAAACGTCAAATCACCAGTTTAACAATATACTAGTACTGTTCGATTAGCCAATCATATGCTTTGAAATTAAATCTAAATATAAAAGTGTTCTACCACATAATTTTGTTAAATACACACAAGGAAGACAATCATTTAAACGTTTTGAGGTAGGTTAAAAGCTTATTTTGTACTTACGTAACAAACTTACTTTGTGATATATTTCATATCTTCATTCATGGACAGCATATATTTATTCTCGAATAACTGATTAGTGGTATTAACAGGTATAATCATTACACAAATAAATAGCTGTCAAAAGAAGAAGAACAATACAGCGCTGTTTGGTGGTTCTTTTTGAGGATTTTCACGTGCAGATATAAATTACATGTCATGATATGACATACTGTATCTCTTTTCCTGTAATAAAAAGCTGCCAATACAAATTACACTTTTTTTAAATAACATACCAACTCTTTTTGATGTTTCTTGTCAAAATTGTACCTTGATAGGAAAATATACTCAAATTAAAAAAAAAAGAATCAACTGGGATGATAAAAACTTGAACATGTTAGGTCCGAGATACATTTCCAAAAAAGACCGATTTAGAATGACCAAAAATATGAATATAAGAACTTTTCTTCACTAGTAAACGAATTGTAGTCTGAAATTGTCAGTTTGATCTTAACATCATCAAAAAGTGTGAACAATGAATTACAAAGTCAATTTCAGTCTTTCAAACATTTCACATATTTATCGAATGCAGTAAATTCAGTTGCTTTTAACCAATCATATTCCTAGAAATGTATAGGAGGTAAGATAAAGTTTAATAACAACTACTAAACACTTAGAACATAAACTGAACATATCTTGACTGTAAGCGAATTGTCTGAACAGTAATGATTTTTACCACAGGGGATAAGTTTGAGAATGACCTAATACTAAAATAAAGTAAAATAGCAGCAATACTGAACTATAAGGAAAATCAAAACAGAAGGTTCTTTGTCCAATAACAAAATCAAAAGCTCAAACACATCAAACTAATGGGAAACAATTGTCACATTCCTGACTTGGTAAAGGCATTTCCTTATATAGAAAATGTTGATTTAAACCTGGTTTTATAGCTAGCTAAACTTTTCACCTGTTTCACAGCCGCATTTTATTATTCAGTTTCTAAAGAGATAACCTTAGCTGTATTTGGCAAAACTTGGTGTCACGGATGAGTCTTTTGTAGACGAAACGCGCGTCTGGTGCAAATGCAAAATTTCAATCCTGGTTCATTTATTGACAGATGTATATGTTCGATCTTAGTTCAAACAAAAAATTTTAAAAGCCAGTAAACATGTAAAAACTAACCGATTGGTCTTTTTAGAAACATTTCGAACCCACTGAGTCAATCTGTCAGTATTGGCTCTTTTACTGGAGTTGCCTGTGCCAGGTCAGTGGTACGGCGGTTATTTTCCATTTGTTGGATGTGTTTACTTTTTTGTTTTTGCCATTTTTAATGGGTGACTTTCCTTTTTGGGTTTCACTTGGCGTTCGATTTTTTTGTTATTTTTAGTTAGAATAACTGATATATTTGTAGCTCAATGTTAATAAGCATAATTAGGTCTGATGCTATCAACCTTTAAAAAAAGCTGCATCTAATTTAACAGATAACTTTTTACACCACTGGGTCGATGCCACTGCTGGTGGGCGTTTCGTCCCCGAGGGTATCACCAGCCCAGTAGTCAGCACTTCGGTGTTGACATGAATATCAATTATATGGTAATTTTTATAAATTTTCTGTTTACAAAACTTTCTTATCCCAGGAATAGATTACCTTAGCCGTATTTGGCAACAACTTTTTGGAATTTTGGGTCCTCAATTCTCTTCAACTTTGTACTTGTTTGGCTTTATTACTATTTTGATCTGAGCGTCACTGATGAGTCTTATGTAGACGAAACGCGCGTCTGGCGTATTAAATTATAATCCTGGTACCTTTGATAACCTTTTAACATAAATAGATGAAAGTCCGATGAAGCTAGTCGTTTATTTTTCATCACATTATAAACATTCTTTATAATCTTAATATATTGTTCAATTTAGATTGTCAAAGAGAAGATAATTCTATTTGTGATATTGTATTATTGTTTGTACTGATCAATCCACACTCAAATAGATTTGTATGTTATGTGTTGCTATAAAACACTCATCAGAGATACCTTCTTTAGTGACACTATAATCAGGAAAGTTGAAAAGCCAAATAAAGCACGAATATGCTGTGTCATAGGCACTTTAAATGTATACATGTACTTCCGCGAATGGTGTTAACTTAAATCACCCCACATTTTTCAATGAATTTGTAAAGTACACAATATGTTATTAAAACCTTTTAGAAGAATTTTATTATACCTTATTCTATAAATAGATTATGAATTGTGTTTTCTTGTAGACAGATTAAAATCACCACTACGTGTTATTTAATTTGACAATACATGTATTGGAGCATTCGGAAAGATTTTTACATTACAAAGATCTTACATTTTGAAAAATTCCTCAAGTCATCTAACTAGTTCACGTTGTGAATGAAAAGATACTCCTAGTGCCCAAAGAAGTCATGATTATCCATTTACTTTACGTGATGCTATAACGATGGATTCCTTTCACTTAATAATTCAATGTTTAATGAATATGTGTATCGCATGTATAATATTGAACATGGAATAATATATGAAATAGATTTAGCTTCCTCTGAAGCTAATATTTACGTAGAATTGTAAATCGGCAATGATATCCTGGTCCAAGTGAAAAATTCAAGGTCACATCAACATTTATTATGTCATAAATGGGGAAAAAATTCAAAAGGATCAACATTAACACCGTTTTGAAATGTTTTGCATTATATATAAAAAGGAACCAAACATGATAGTCAGATTTATAATAAGAAAAAAGAAAAAGAATGATGTGGTATTATATATCAATAAAGCAAGGGCCTTATTTAGCATAGCTGTTAAGTCTGTTTTTTGGCCCAACACAATTAATTGTTTGTGAAATATTTCAAATTTACACGTTATATTTGGAAATGTTAAATGTCCAGAAATATAGATGAATAAATCGGACTTTTGCACACGAAAAAGAACCACCTACTGCAAACAAAATATAAAAATAAATGATGTTTATTGTTGCATGTTGGTACACCAAAAATATATCTTGGATATCAAAGCATTGTCCTCAATTGTTAGATAAAAATATACATATAGTCCCATCTACAGGAGTATGCTGAACTTTTTACAATTTGTATTGTCTATCTAATTATACTCTGATTATGTTTCGTTTTAGAAATTTTTTCGCACAAAATGGGAAATTGGTCTTCGAAAAGTACCCCGGAAATTGTGATTTATGTATGGGTACCACGAGATGGAAATATAATTGGTCACACTTCTATGACTCTAAGTGATGATACCCATATCAGTTGGTGGCCTAACAATATTGATGAAGATGAAATAAAAGACTTTAGGGTTTGCTTTTTTGTTTTGTTAGTTTGTTGTTGGGTTTTTTTTAATTGCATCATAGTTAATCGAAAATAAAAATAAAAGATGTAGCTGGATACAGAAAATACCGGCCTCGTTAAGTATTAGTATATTATCTAAGTAGACTTAATTAGTACTCGTTAGTAGTAAATGATAGTTAAATATATAAATAGTATTATATTACTATATATTCATTATTTCCATAGTATTGTTCAATGAATAAAGACCTGTATTTATGAGAAGTAGGAAAAAAAGAGAAAAACAAAATAAACAACAACAAAAAACAAAGGGACATCATTTTGCCCTTAAACTTTTTTTATTCGATCGTATCTGATGAGATTTTTGTAGAGAATATATAAGAATAAGAATATTTCTTATTCCAATCAAGGGCCCTTGATTGGCAGCATGACATGTATACACACAAACAATACAGTGTGATTTGTAACAGAAATTTTTTTTAACTTGAAATGAAATAATGTAGACGAAACGCGCGTCTTCGAACATTATTATCAGTCTGGTATCTTTGGTGAGTATTTTTTCGTTATTTCAAATGCTCCACAAACCTTTTTTCTAAATTATTAACAATTATCTTATCAAGCAGGTCTTCGTCGTTACTATAAAAAGCCCTATATTTAGTAGTGTGAATTAGATATAGATATTCAAACATTCCAAAGATTTGTTCTCGAAAACCTACAATCTGTACCTCTGTTCATTGCATAAGTATAAAATTATAATACTTTAAATAAACTAATCGTTGATACCAGGATTCAATATTTTTGTGTAAGCCAGACGCGCGTCAAAAATAGATTCGAAACACAGATGCATTTTTTTTTACAAAGGGACAAATCATACGTTGTTAAAAGCACTCTGGTCTAAGCATAATGTTCGCTGAAACTAAAATTATCAGAACGCTGGATTTTTCTATTGACAATAAACTCATCATAAATACCAGGATTGAAATTTTATATTTGCACCAGGCGCGCGTTTCGTCTACAAAAGACTCATCAGTGCGCTCGAATCAAAAAATGTTAAAAAGGCCAAATAAAGTACGAAGTTGAAGAGCATTGAGGACCAAATATTCCTAAAATACAGCTAAGGTAATCTATTCCTGAGGTAGAAACCTATTTGCTACGCTAATAAAGACAGACAATAAGCAATTCCATACATATTCATCGGGAAAAAAACAAATAACGTATGAATAATTATCTTCTCGAAAATGGTTCCATTCCGAATGCAAAGCCGAAAATGTCCGCCCTTAGTCTTGGTGGTCAATTTCTTTGTCATTAATTCGGCTTTTGTATGATGTCCTGTGGTCCCTACACATCCTTAAAATACCTTCAAACGCGAGAACAATCTTGATCTTTTTCGATACGTGTTGACAATTTCTCTGCATTTAGTGAAGTTTAACATTCAAGAATAACGCTGACTTTACTTGATATCTGTCCAATTGTACAATTATTCGTGATAAACACTTGAACCCATTTTATTAGTGTTTTGACCACCAAAGTACTGACACAATGTTTATTTAGATTATTTGAAGTATTAATGTCTAACTAACCAAGACACGCAGCAGGGTATGAACTATTTGTCCCTTCGTTTGATGTGTTTGGGCTTTTGATTTTGCCATTTGATTAGGGACTCTCCGTTTTTGAATTTTCCTCGGAGTTCAATATTTTTGTGATTTTACTTTTTTTATAAGACTATTTCTCCTATTTTCAGAACAATGTTGAAGCAGAAACGGTTGTCTCTTATGAGGTCGATAAGATTTGGGAAAACAGAGATGCTGATCACATTATAAGAATCACAGTAGACGATCTGGACGAAGACGACATTAAAGAATGGTGGGACGACTTCAAAAGTAATCGAAAATACCATCTGTTGACAAATAATTGCTGTAATGCTGTGTATGAAGCTTTATATGCTGGGGGTGCAAGTGAAATTGTCGGTGGTCCTCAGCCTAACATACCACATCCAAATGCTGTTAGACAATATGCAGAAACGCTACGAGAGGCTGTGCAACTACGCAACCATTAAAAACTTTCTATAAAATTATATAAATAAAGCAATTTAATAATAAGTACAGAAATAAGGGAATTACAGATAAAAAATGTTGGTATCCATTATAATACACATATTAAAATAACATAAAGAAACTCGTTAAACGAAAAATTTATTTTCTGTCAATGGTGTATGGAAGTCAGTTTCTCTTGACATATGGTAGCCTTGGGATAAACTCAAACTTCATAATCTCGAATTCGGTTCAAATGAAAATCAGAAATGAAAACAACACTATATACACTTTAGCAATCACAATGCTATACTGTACTGTTCAAGTGTTCAAAAAAATAGAGTGGGGTTCATTCTATGTATCAGGTTTTTTTTTAATGATAAAAAAACAGCAAATAATCACTTGTTAATGAACCTTCTCTTTGAATTTTCCTTAGAATTCAGTCGTTTTGTTATTTTTCTTTGCAATTCTGTATTTTAAATACAATACTTTATTTGTTTTCAATATCTAAACACTGTCGTGTAGTAGACCTAGGGTATGGAAGACAACTCTTACAAATATTTTAACAAAAAGATATTTGTGCGTTTTAACCTTGCCGTTATTGAAAAGTTGACCAAGCATATATGTTGTTCATATTTGGTTATGAAAATGATGCAGCCGCATGTACAAAAATTGGAAAAGTTTTACTTCAACAAGCATTAATTGAAGAAATTACTTTTTTTTTAATAAAAAAAAATCAAAAACTAAAAAGGTGGAAAATGAATATTTTTTCCTAAATCATGTAAAGAGCTAATTGTACAACAAAAACTCCTCAGTTCTTTTAGAAGCTTTCATTCGTGTTTGTTCATTTCAAATCTAACTTCAAGAGGATATAGCTTGAAAACTAGCACGGTTGCTAAGGACTTTCTTTGCACCAATGGATTGGTCGTTTATTTTTTAATCGCATTTCGATTGTTTTTTAAATTCTGTTGACCAACGAATTAGAAAATCATGATATCATGCTGTTAGTTTCAAAAGCTTGTATCTGAAAAACGAAAACGGTTACTCTCTTTTTTATTTTATATTCTGATGTGTTTTTACAAGCAGTAGAATCCACATGTAAATTTTTTCTAAATTCTGTGGAGTAGTTAATTACGTACACTTCGCCTTAAGCTAAAGTTCACAAAATAATGCAAAAAAGACTGCTTACGGTTTTATAGGAAAACAATATGGATTTTGTCAAAAATTATCTTTCTTCTGATGGCTGTTAGCCAAATTGTTAAAAGATTTGGTAAATTTAATCAGTCAAGTTCCACAAAAGTTTGTGATTTTCAAGGTAAATGAACAATCATTGTAATTGCCATTTTTGGCGGGCATTACATTTCTCTGTGAAAGTTTGAAAAATTAAATGTGTTATTTGAGAGAATCAGTATTTTCGACTTATTAAAACATTTGAAATTATTAATATACATTCAGGCTATAAATATTACCATGACATTTTAGATTTACTTTAAAATATGTTTCAAATATAGAATTGAGAATGGAAACTCTAATTTTTTGCAGTTATGGACATTTCTAATGCGAACATGCGCAAAATAACCCCAGAACTGGTTAAATTCAATATACCGTAAACATAAAATGTAACGATGAATTTTCTTGAGACTTTATCAAATGATGCCTGGATCCTTATATTTCAATAGCGTAAATATAAGAAAATTGAAGCAAGAGATAAATTTGGGGTTACTAGGGCCTATCCCTGAAAACGTGATATAAACAAAATTGTGTGGCTCTTTCTCAAAATAACATTTGGTAATATCAACGACAAAACAGTATGTAGTATCCATAATTATGATTCAATATATATTTGGTATATGACGAGGCTTATTTTCATAAGTCACTAGAACACACCCGCGAGTCCATGACTGAATTAAAGTACCCACACCTTTTTTCAGTCTGGACTTTAGTATCCGTATTGTCATTTGATAAAGTCATGCTTATTATAAGGTGCACAGTTTTTGTCTGCATTCAAAATCTTTTTTTTTTAATCCGTCCTGGTTTTCTTACTTCAACTACTTGTAAATATAATTTTTTTTTGTCATGATTGATTGATCCCTGTATTATGACGAAGTTCGGGTGTGATTATGACCTGTGTATATAGCAAATCCCTTATACACCGTTTGATGGTGCACCTAATAGAGGTTTCCCGATTTGCTACGTATCAGGTACGGTTGGTACGTAACTCAACCGTTAGTGTTGTTTTGGAGGTGTCATTTAATGCATGAGATTATTTTATACATCATGATGAAATTAAAGAAATCGAATTGCATATCAGCGAAATATACCGTAACGTTTTATTTGATAACGATTTCACCGTTTCTAGAACGCTTTGTTAGTGAATCAATATGAGATAACTTTAGTAAGTGCACATGAGAATGAATCAAACAGATCTTACACGAACTGTGTTGACACGAACTTTAGATTCTAAATATAGATTTGCGTTTCTGTTTGATTTGGGTATTGTTTTTGTTTTGTTTATATATAGAAGAAGAAAAAATTAGACTGTTGATTTTTCTCATGTATAAGCAGAATTTGGAATATTTAAAGAAAATTCTATCTATGAATGATTTTCATAATCACGTCGTGTTAATGATATTGGTGAAATACGTTCACATGACAAAATTGTGTTGATTTCTCATTAGTTCTTGCGTGATTTTAAAATTAGATCTGATGATCTAGAAATGCATTCTAAACAGTAAACTGAAAAATATTTAAAAAAAATATCGACTTCTTTATTGCCGATAGAAAAAAAATTCCAGCAATGTCTACAATCATTGAATAAAAAAAAAAACAACTAGAATAATTGTCATATATTTAAAGTAAATTGCACTGACACTCGTGTTCTTGAAATAGTTTATAAAGCTTATCTTCTAATTTCATCCTGTCTTCGTACTTTCATTATTGCAAAAATTTCTCATACATGTGTAAGGATTGATGCTGTTTATTTAAAAAAATTGTTGATGACCTACGTGATATTTTTTATATATTTTGAACTCTTTTAGAGACTCTTCACACAGTTGGTATCATAGTATAGGTGTTAATCATCGAAAAGTCGATTATGGTTTTATTCTTATTTCATCATTAATACATCATTAACTAGGTTGATTTTGTATGTTGAAATGGCTCTTATTTGTTAATGTTTTGTAAAATTTTGCCCAAAACATTCCAACCGTTTTTGTTTTAAATCGTCATAATAATATTACAGTTGAAAATCAGATAGATTATAAAAGTGCTTTATATTTTAGCTTGGTTTTGCCGTTGAAATTTCAGGGGAAATAAATCTAAATTACAAAAATTACAAACCGTTCGTGCTACGGTTACTTGCAAAGGTTGTTTGAAAGCATAATCGAGTACACACAATATTTTTTTGCTATAAATACGAAAAATACCCACGTAAAATTCAATCCATGTTGCAGCTAAAAATCCTCCAAACGCTTTTGATTATGATTCATAAAACATACGTTAACATTAATTGAATATATCAATTATTTTTAAAATTTTAGTGACGGCTCCCAGTTCGTACTACGGTTGGTACTGTAGCAAATCGGGAAACCTCTAATAAAGCGGAACGTATAGATTAGGTAACAGGTAAAAGTTTCTATTGGTATCGGTATCGGATTCAACCCGGAACTTGATAATTATTGTAATATTTAATTATGTAGAAAACAAAAGGGCTTGGAAGGGTGTAAATTTAATCAACACCATTATCCTATATCAGTTATATATAAAGATTCGTCGTTATTACGTCATGCCAGCTAACTATTTGGACCTCGTTATTTTAGTGGTATATTTTTTTTCAATTTTTAATGGAACAATACTTGATAACATTCATTAATTGATAAAATTGCATGATGTGATATGTAGTGTTTGACTGTCCCATCGAAATTGAAGTAACAGTTGAGCCTGCCTCATATCTTGACTTAAGTCTAAAAATTGACAATGAGGGTCGGTTGAGAACAAAACTGTACGACAAAAGAGATGAATTCAGCTTCCCAATTTTGAACTCTCTATTTGTATGTAACAATATTCCAACAACATCCACTGGTATTAAACTGGTCATCGTAATTGCAGTTATAACGATCCCAACATGGCGGATCCAAAAACAAGTAAAATCGTTTCTTCTAATTTCTCTGTGAACACGCGTTGTTTTTTAAGAATTACTCAGTCGCTAGGTTGATATTTACGGTATAGTTGTGTGTCTGTGTTCTAAGTATCATATGTGGCCTTGTTACCGAAATAATAGCCATAGAAATATTACGGAAGATCATCGTAACTCCAAAAGAAGATAATCGTAACTTGTGGACAAATAACTTGAAAGATAATCGTAACTGTATAAAATATGTCTATGATCATAGTAACTGATTTTATCAGTACCTTCTGCTAACGGAATATTTAATAATAAATGGGAAATGTATCCATTGGACACAGATCGAGGATGCCTCTGCTTGCATAAAACGTAACAAAGGAACATAAATCAAGAACAGTAAAAGTGATACTGCCCAAATTTGTTCCTGATTTGAGTTTTGTGTGGTAATAAGCATTTTGGTTCACAACATTTGATTGAGGCAAACTTGAGTAAGAGAACGGAAACAAAAAATCAGAATTTTTTCCAGTTGTAAAGGGAATAACTCTAGAACGGTATAAGTGATGCCTCCAAAATTCAAAACTAGATCTGTGTTATGTAGAAATAAGCATTGTGTTTATGTTTCATTGCATTTGGTCATAGCAAACTAAAGTTAGAAAAATAAAACGAAAAATTCAGCATTTCTTTTCATTTGTAAA